CCTATAAGTTCCCTAATGGTACACAGATGGAAAAAAGGTTGGCAAGGGTCTTAACCCTAATGAATAAGGGGGAGAGAACAATGTTCTTGGACAACTTGCCAGCCAGCTTGCTAACAACCGAATTAACCTGTCTAACAGTATGTGTTTATAACAGGGGTTTAGTTAGCACACATTTGCAAATACATACGTAAGCCACAGAGCCACGGCACGGCACCCTGATAATCTGTGGTCCTAACGCTACAATTTGTGAGTCCCCATAGTAGAGGCACATGCATTTAAGAGGGGTGGCTCCCTCAGGTCCACCTGCCCTTGATCTATCCATTAAATGCATGTGCCTCTACTATTGGGACTCACAAATTGTAGAGTTAGGACCACAGATTATCAGGGTGCCGTGCCGTGGCTCTGTGGCTTACATATGTATTTGCAAATGTGTGCTAACTAAACCCCTGTTATAAACGCATACTGTTAGACAGGTTAATTCGGTTGTTAGCAAGCTGGCTGGCAAGTTGTCCAAGAACATTGTTCCCTCCCCCTTATTCATTATGTGATGCCTGTTTATGTGTCCTTGCTTCATAAGCCAGTTATAGACTTGGGCGGGTGGCCACTTTTATTGTATGAAGGGTCTTAACCCTACCCTACTCTACCAAACCGAAAAAAAAATAATTTTGGCTATGGATACACTTTAATGCTGTATGAGGTCATGATGTAGATTTTTGATGGGGCTTTCCTTTCTAAAGTTTACTCTCCTGCATTATTACAGCAATGCAACTTACAGGTATTTAGATGGTACCAACAGAGATGTTCTTCTAGAAGATCCTCCAATAACAAGCTGCTTAGTGAACCCTATTGCAATTTTTGCTTTTGTTCATGTGACACCACAGATCACACATGAAAATGCAAGGCATGTATTACTCATCATCTAATTACTCCTCATCGGTAGATTCCCAGTGTAGCTCTTCATTGTAAGTACTGTACCTTTCTACAGGCATCCCTCCCTTACAGTGTAAAGCACACAGTAAAACAGCACACAGTTAACCCTTTGACCGCCCCAGATGTTAACCCCTTCTTGCCCAGTGTCAGTACAGTGTCAGTGCTTTTTATTAACACTGATCACTGTATTGGTGTCACTGGGGATATCAGTGACCCCAAGTCAGTTCCCACCAGTGTCAGAATGCCCGCCACAGTCCTGAAGTCCTGCTATAAGTCACTGATCGCCGCCATTACTAGTACAAAAAAAAATAAATTCCAGTATATATACCGCCATTTGTAAACCCTAGAACTTTCACGTAAACCAATTAAGTTATAAGTATTTGGATTTGTTTCTGCAAAAACATGGCACAGAATACATTTCGAGTTTCCAAATGGTCAGTCCGCCCCTGAGTTTGGGTATACTGTACATTTTTAGGGGTTGAGCTGAGGTTAGATTTTTTTCATTTACGGGTTATGTTTGGGTCAGGGGTTACATTAAGGGATTATGCTGAGATTAAGGTTTCTCAAGGGATCAAGAAGGAATTTTTTTCCCCTGCAGGAGCAAATTGGATCATGTTTTTGTTGGGTTTATTTGCCTTCCTGTGGATCAACTGTGGGTATATTATTATTATTATTATACAGTATTTATAAAGCGCCAATAGTTCGCTCAGCGCTGTACATTACAAAGGGGGACAGAACATGTGACAGAACAATACCAATACAATGCAAAACATGAGGGGATTGAGGGCCCTGCTCTTTGGAGCTTACAATCTAGGAGGGAGGGGATAGTGGTACAGGAGGAGATAGCTGTGGGGGATGGAGTGGTAGGAAGAGTGGAGGAGGTCGGTCAAGTTTGCAGGGGGTAGGGTAGGCTTCCCTGAAGAGATGGGTTTTCAGGGTGCGCCTAAAGGAGAGGAGAGTAGGTGATAATCTGATGGGTTGAGGCAGGGAGTTCCAGAGGATGGGTGACACCCCAGAGAAGTCCTGGAGGCGGGCATGGGAGGAGGAGACCAGGGAACTAGAGAGGAGGTGGTCTTGTGAGGAGCGGAGTGTGCTTGCTGGGCGGTACTTGGATATTAGGTCAGTGATGTAGTTCGGGGCAGTATGGTGGACAGCTTTGTACGTCAATGTTAGGATTTTGAATTTGATCCGTTGCGCAATCGGAAGCCAGTGGAGGGATTGGCAGAGGGGGGTGTCAGGGATCCCCTCGATCCCCGCCGCGTTGGTCCCGGCGCAGGCGCAGTATGCCGCCCGGCGCAGGGACTCGAGCACTGGTTCCGGGCCGGCCGCGGCGTTCGAGTTCGCGCATGCGCAGTAGAAGCCGCGGCCGCCCGCTGGGCACCAATGGCAGCGCAGGGCGGGATATTTTAAACGACCCTGAGCTGTCATTCAGTGCCTTCTGGTCTTTCCTGCATCCTGAATCCTGTGAACCTGTACCCTGTAAGTTATTGACCCGGATTGTACCTGACCTTGCTGTTTCTCCTATTCTGACCCTTGCTTGCCTGACCTCTCTTCTGAATGCCCCCTATTGGATTTGACCTGCTGTTGCTGACCTGGCGTGTGACCCGACCATTCTATGCCCGCTGCCTTGTACCTTGCCGCCCTCTCTGTTACCGACCCGGCCCGTCTGACCTTGCTCATCCATCCATCCATCCCGTGCAGCGGGGTCTTCTGACCTCCTCACATCAGACTCTTCCCTGTGGGAGCCCCTTGCGCATACTGCTACCACTGACGGGCGCACCCAGTAGCCACGACCTGGTCTCAGGGAGCTCCAAGTCCATCCCCACCATCAGGGGCTCTGGTGAACAAGCACCCTGGGACTTAGACTCCGTGCGCTGGGGACGCCTATTCAGTGGAGTGCTAATAGTACCGCCGGGCGGTCCCTTACAGGGGTGTCGGAAACGGAGCGTTTGGAAAGGTGAATGAGTCTGGCAGGCGTATTCAGGATCGACTGAAGCGGGGATAGCCAGCGGCGAGGAAGGCCAGTGAGGAGGGAGTTCCAGTAGTCGAGTCGTGATTCGATGAGGGAGTGGATGAGCTGTTTAGTGGTTTCTGGGGTTAGGAACGCGTGTATTTTGGCGATGTTGCGGAGGTGGAGTCTGCAGAGTTTGTTAAAGATTGGACTTGGGACTGGAAGGATAGGTTGGAGTCCAGAATGACACCAAGTACTCTGGCCTGCAGGGCGGGTTTGATATTGGCGTTGTTGGATGTGATGGAGAAGTCAATGGTCGGTGGGGTCCGGGCTGGGGGGAAGACAAGAAACTCGGTTTTGGAGAGGTTCAGTTTAAGGAGTGGAGCGACATCCAATCTGATATGTCGCTCAGTAGGTGTGTGATTCGGGCAGAGACCGAGGGGGTGAGGTGGGGGGTTGAGAGATAGATTTGTGTGTCGTCGGCATAGAGGTGGTAGTTGAAGCCGTGAGAGTGTATGAGTTGGCCAAGGGAGGAGGTGTAGATGGAGAAGAGAAGGGGCCCGAGGACAGAGCCTTGAGGGACCCCAACTGAGAGGGGGAGTGAGGGGGAGGTGGTAGCATTATAGGTAACGCTGAAAGAGCGTTGTGACAGGTAGGATGAGAGCCAGGAGAGAGCAGAATCTCTGAGGCTGAGGGAGTGTAGTTTTTTGAGGAGGAGGGGGTGGTCGACTGTGTCAAAGGCCGCAGAGAGGTCAAGGAGTAGGAGCACTGAATAGTGGCCATTAGCTTTGGCGGTTAGAAGGTCGTTGGAGAGTTTGAGTAAGGCGGTTTCGGTGGAGTGTAGAGGACGGAAGCCAGACTGTAGGGGATCGAGGAGGTTGTTGTCGTTGAGGTGAGAGCATAGGCGAGTGTAGACGAGGCGCTCGAGGAGTTTAGATGTAAATGGGAGCAGGGAGATGGGTCTGAGGTTGTTCGGGTCATTGGGGTCCAGGGAGGGCTTTTTAAGTATGGGGGTGATGTGTGCATGTTTCAGAGGGGAGGGGAAAGTGCCTGAGGCGAGGGAGAGGTTGAAGATGTAGGTGAGGGAGTGTAGGATGGAGGGGGAGGGAGGTCGGAGGAGTTGTGAGGGGATAGGGTCGAGGGGGCAGGTGGTGAGGCGGGCATCAGAGAGGATCTTGGAGACTTCCTCGATCGTGGTAAGGTCAAAGGTGTGGAGTGTTGGGGGAGCTTCAGTATGAGGAATGTAGGGTGGGGTGGAAGTAGAGGTCAGAGCAGTGGTGGGGCCGTGGGAGAGGGGTGATGAGGGGGTCAGCTGAGGGAGGGGGAACAGGGTTGGAGGGAGTTTGAGCAGCGACGAAGTCCCTGCGGGTTATGTCGAGGGGGAGGAGGGATGAGGGGGTAGCTGTGTGAGAGGGGACGGGTTGAGAGGGCGTGTGAGTTGCGGCAATGTCCTTGCGAATTGTGTCAATCTTGTTTTTGAAGTGATTGGCAATCTCAAGGGCGGTGTGAGTGAGGTGCTGGGTGGAGGTGGGGGTGGAGAGAGTAGAGAGTTGAAGGTGGAGAAGAGTCGGCAAGGATTGGAGCAGAGGGTCTTGATGAGGGTCAGGAAGTAGGCTTGTTTGGCTGCGTGGAGGGGAGGAGGTGTAGGTGCGGAAGGCAGATTTGTAGCAGGTGAAGGCTTGTTGGGATTTTGTTTTGCGCCATAGTCGCTCCAGGGCATGACTGTGTCGTTTGAGGGTCTTGGTGTAGCCTTATAGGATTATAACTTTTTTTTAATAGTTTAACTGGATGTACTTTTGTATTTTTTCAGCCAGACTAACTATATATTGAGGGGTTATGCTGAGGTTAGTTAATATTTGGGAGTTATGTTGAGATTAAAGCTTGCATTAACAGTTTATGGTGAAGCTAGGGGTTACATTTAAGGATTATGTTGAATTCAGGCGTTACATTAAGGCATATGTTGAGGTTAAGGTTTACATGTAGGGGATATGTTAAAATTTACATGTGGGTGATAATGTAAGGGAAGGCTACGCTAAGGTTGGTGTTTACATTTGGGTGTTATGTTGAGATTAAATTTTACATGCAGGGTTTACGTTGAGTTTAGGGTTTATATCTCTAGGGGTCATGTTTCGGTTGGGATATACATTTTCAGAGGTTATGTTGAAATTACAATTTTTCATGTAGAGGTTTTGTTGGGGTCTGGGGTTAAATTAAGAGATTATGTTGAGGTCAAATTTTATATTGATGGGTTATGTTGAGATTAAGGTTTATGTTGAGGAGTTATGCTAAGGTTAGAGTCAGGGGTGGACTGAACATTTGGAAACTCTGTTGGACATCCCCTTCCAAAACCATGGGCAGTAATATGCAGTTGGCATTCCTTTGTGGCTTTACCATCCTTCTCTTATCTGGCAAGGCTTCCAACAAGATTGTGAAGTGTGCTTGTGAGACTTTGTGCCAATTTAGCCAAAAGAGCATTTGTGAGGTCAGATACTAATGTTGGATGAGAAGTCCTGCCTTCCAGTTGGTCTTACAGTTTATTCCAAAAGTGTTGAGTAGGGTCTATAGTGTATTTATAAAGCTTCACAAGCAAATGCTTTCAAGTTGATTACAGTATAGCATTTAAAGCAGAAGTACAGCCAAGGCTCTTTTGGCTGTACTCCTGTGGTTCAGTTCGTTCTGGACTCCTGTGAACCGTTTTCAGCCGACAGCGGGCTGAAGCTGGCTGTTGGCTGACGTCACTCAGCTGGGCAAGGCTGAGGAAAGATCCCAACTGCAAAGCTGCGATCCACCCCAGAGTCTGGAGCAGCATCTGGCTTAGCCTCTCAGCGAGGCCACTGAGAGCCTGAGCCAGCCACTCCCTTACCCTCCACAGCCCAGCGCTCCAGTGAGAGCTGGAGGGGCAGAGCAGACACTCTGCTCAGAGCGGCTGTGAGAGCTCAGTGATCAGTGGTCATCTGATTGCTGAGTTTTAACACTTAGAGCCGCTGGTGGCCAGATGCAGCATCGGACTGATGCTGCATCCACCTAGGTAAGTATAAATGGGGGAAGAAAGAAAGTCCACACTTCTCTTTTAAGACTTGATTGATAAACTCTTGTGTGTTCATACTATTCATCTTCGCCATTTGTACTGAATTTTGCTGGGAATATAAATAAATAAGCATAACCCAAAAACGACAATTAACGAGATGTCATCTCTTGTGGGTTTGGTGAACGATGCAGAGAATTCTCAGTAACATAAAAACATATGTTCAGTGCGGCATTGAAAAGTCTCCCTGTAATTGTGTTTTATCTCTATGTTCAGCAAAAGTACAGAATTTGTCTCCATCGCGCTTCACGCTTTAACGCCATGTATCCGAATCCCCCAGAGCCAGGAGCTATAAATTATCGCGTCTGCTGTGTTAATATTCAGCAGCTGTGCTTTTTATTAGCAGCTTTTTCAAATATTCATAAGCATTGTTTGATACTTAAGCTGCACGTGCAGAAGTCCCCAGATTTGCCATGCTTTGAGGAAACGTTTATTATGAATGATGAGTTGGACTTGTTAGCTGCAAGTGAGGATTGAAATTCCTCTTGAATTGGTAAATAGCCTAGTAAAGGAAATCTCCCCTTTTAACCCCATAACCCTCATCTCGCTCATTTCAAAATCACTTTATTGGAAGGCGTTCATTTGTAAAAGCCCTCCTCTCTTTTCTAACACAAGATGCAGGAGCACTTAAGGTGAGCCTGTGGCTAGACAGTCATTTGCAAGCAGCTCATTGACCTGCAGACACCGTAGAGAAATGTATCTTCAAAGTTCATAACAAATGTTTGGACTTACTGTCAGAGGTCTGTATCCACAGGAGAATGACAGATTAGGAAATGTAGAATTATACCTGGGGTTGCATTGAGAGGCAGAGGTCACAAAGGTGCTTGGGTCGCACAGGAATCACATGATGACACAGGATGGTCTGGAGTCACGGTGTGAGACCAGATGCTGTGGAGTCACTAGGTGAGAAATAGTGCAGGGTTCACTGGAGACACAATAGTGCCTGGGCACCCTAAAGTGTTGGGGTCACTGGAGAAACAAGAGTACCTGGACATCCCAGAGTCACTGGAGACACAAGTACCTATAGACACCAAAGAGAAGGGGTCATTGGAGGCACAAGGGTACCTGTAGTCCCCAAAGCACAGCGGTCACTGGAGACACAAGAGTACATGGACACCCCAAAGTGCAGGGGTCACTGGAGACACGAGTACCTGCAGACCCCAAAGGGCAGGGGACATTGGAGATACAGGAGTACCTGCAGACCCCAAAAAACAAGTGTCACTGGAGACACAAGAGTACCTAGACCCCATAAGACAGGGGTCATTGGAGACACAAGAATACCTGCAGACCCCAATGGGCAGGGGCCATTGGAGACACAAGAGTACCTGGACACCCCAAAGTTACGGGGTCATTGGAGACACAAGAGTATCTGCAGACCCCAAAGGGCAGGGATCATTGAAGACACGAGTACCTGCAGAACCCAAAGTTCAGGGGTCACTGGAGACACAAGAGTACCTGGACACTCCAAAGTGCAGGGGTCACTGGAGACACAAGAGTACCCACAGACCCAAAAGAGCAGGAATCATTGGAGATACAAGGGTACCTGTAAACCTCAAAGTGCAGGGGTCACTGGAGACACGAGCACTGTAGCACGCCAAAGTGCGGGTCACCATAGACACAGGTCACTGGAGATACTGAAGGCGCAGGAGTCTGGAGACACAGGAGTGCAGGCGTCACTGAAGACACAGGAATTCAGGGGTTAAGATCACAGGAGTCACAGAGTCTCTGGAGGTACATTAGTAAAGCAGTCTCTGGCAGTACAGGAGTGCATGAGTCTCTGGAGGCACAGAAGTGCACGGGTCACTGGAGACACTTTAGATCATGGCAATGCACAGAGTCACAGAGTCCCTGCAGGTATAGGATTGCAGGAGTCTCTGGAAGTATGCTAGTATTGTGGTCTCTGGAGGCACAGGAGTGCAGGGGTCTCTGGAGGCACAGGAGTTCATTAGTCTCTGGAGGCACAGAAGTGCAGGGGTCACTGGAGACACTTAAGATTAAGAGAGTTGCCAGGGGTCACATAGTCTTTGGAGGTACAGGGGTCTCTGTAGGTATATTAGTAAAGCAGCTTCTGGAGGCATAGGGGAGCAGGGGTCACTGGAGGCACAGGGTTGCAGGGGTCACTGGAGACACTTTAGATCACGCAAATTCACAGGGATCACAAGAGGTACAGAGTCTCTAGAGGTGCAGGAGTAGAGGTGTCTCTAGAGTACGTGTCAAACACAAGGCCGAATCCAGGCCCCCAGGTCATTTCATGTGGCCCTTGCGCCTCCTGCACATGTGGCACCCCCTTTGTCTCCACCCCCACCCTGTCTCAGCAGTTGACAGCAGAGAAATGGACAGAACTCCTTTGCCAGATCCTGTGCTTCTCAGTGCAGCCGCAGAGAGGTTTGTCTTTGTCCTCCCGTCTCAGCAGTTGGCAGCCGAGAGGAAGACAGAACTCCATCTACAGATCCTGTACTTCTCTGTGCAGTCACAGTACCCCCTCATAGTACCCCCTCATCTCCACCGCTTCTGGTCTCAGCATTCAGTAAACTTTGGCAGCTGATTCCAGCCCTCCTCTGGTCCTCCTCCAGATCCTGCGCTTTCTGCTTCCCAGTTCCACCTGGTCCAGCTTCTTCCCGACAGTAGCACTGGAGACAATTAGGATCATATGAATTCACAGGGGTCACAAAGTCCCTGGAGGTATAGGAGTACAGGGGTTTCTAGAGGCATGTTAGAGTAGGAGTCTCTGAAGACACAGGAGTTTAGGGGTCAATGGAGACACTTGAGATCACAGGAGATCACAGGGGTTTTAAAGTCTCTGGAAGCACAGGAGTTCAGGGGTATCTGGAGACAAAAACAAGAGTTCTCTGGGGTGACAGAGTCTCTGGAGGTACAGGAGTACAGGGGTCTCTGGAGGTATGTTAATAAAGCAGCATCTGGAGGCACATGGGAGCAGGGTCCACTGGAGGCGAAGGAGTGCAGGGGTCTCTGGAGGAACAGGAAAACAGGGGCCTCTGGATCCACAGGATTTCATGGGTCTCTGGATGCACAGGAATACAGGGGCCTCTGGAACCACAGGATTTATTGGGTCTCTGAAGGCACAGAAGTGCAAGGGTTACTGGAGACACTTAAGATTGAGAGAGTTCCCGGGGGTCACTGAGTCTTTGGAGGTACAGGAGTACAGGGGTCTCTGGAGGTATGTTAGTAAAGCAGCCTGAAGGAGAGCAGGGGTCACTGGAGGCACAGGGTTGCAGGGGTCACTGCAGACACTTTTGATCATGAAAATCCACAGGGGTCACAGAGTCTTATGAGGTACAGGATTGCAGGATTCTCTGGAGGTATGCTAGTGTTGCAGTCTCTGGAGGCACAGGAGTGCATGGGTCTCTGGAGATACCTAAAGTGTTACTAAACCCCGCACCCTGCATTCGCTATATCTGGTCTCCCCACAGTACACACAACATGGAAATGCAATTATTTGAGTAAATATAAACTGCTAAATACCTTTTCTCATCAGCAGTTAGAGCAATCTTGTGACTCCTATCAGTGTCCAGCCGAGCATTGCTTAAAGCTTGTAGGAGGAGTTTTTTTAACAACTACAAACCGGAAACGATAGAGAATTAACGATTTGATCTGAAAATGAATAAGCTATAGTTGCAAGAAAAGAAAAGCGTACCAACCATGAATTGGGCATAAAATGTGCTCTGAACGTCATCTAAGTCACAACAATAGAAGAACACAGTCTGCTGAACATAATACTACACAAACATTAGATGTTGCCATGGTTTAATTGCACATAACATGTAAACATTCACAGTGCAGGGAGGAAAAAGTATGTGAACCTTTGGACTTAATAACTGGTTGACCCTCCTTTGGCAGCAATAACCTCAACCAAACGTTTCCTGTAGTTGTGGATCAGACCTGAACTACGTTCAGAGCACATTTTTATGCCCAATTCATGCAAAACTCCACGTAATCCCAAGGGGTTCACATACTTTTTCTTGCAACTGTACACTTAGGCTGGTTAGCCATGTATTGTTATTAAACAATGTAACTTTATAATGTACTCAATAAAATGTGTTATTTTATA